ACCAGACAACGCTGTATGCACCATTCAGGGCCGGGACAAGGGGTGGGCAACAGGTCAAGCGGGACAGAGAATGAGTGTAGGGTGGTACACCCATTCTACAATTTGCATTAGAAGTGGGGGAGTAGGCACAGTTCCGCATCCTTGCCCTCAGCGTTGGCTGAACCTGTCACAGTACTGGGACCATTTATAGCGTATTTGAAAAAGTTACATTTACAGCCAATGTAAATAATAAATTCTCCGAACATGAAGATTACATAACAGTTTTGGTTGTGTGTTACATACACATGCATCCTCCCACAAAGCAGGCAAAACCATACAGCTTTCATCGTGAACATCCATATAATTTAATAAATAGTAAATGCTACAGAAAAAAAAAATCACATATCACATATATCATACAGTATTCTGGAAATTCTCTCTTATAGCGGTATCACACTGTAAAAATCGAGCTCTGGAGAGGAAAAGTTAAGGGGAATATCACTTCTCTCTTCTCAGAGGCCTTATCATAGCTGCTGCAATCGACTCACATCTGGACAAAGTTTTATGTTATACACATTTATAAGTGTATCTGGATGTGCTGCCACCTGCATGTGCCTCTCTCCCTTCACTTCCCTCTCCCCATCCTCACTGTGCTGCAGCAGCTGCCTCTCACCCTTACCTTCCCTGCTGAGTGAGCAGAGCAAATTCCCGCTAGTTCCCGCCCCCTTCTCCTGGCAGTGAACTTGAGCCAATCAGAGAGCAGGAGAGATAAAGCCAATTGGAGCATCAGAGAGAGAACCTGCTGTGCAGCAGTGCACAATATGATATGTAGTCCATAAAGGGGCTCTGCTCAATACAAGTGAATGAAGGTTAATGGCTGCAGAACTACAAAACACACAATTCCCTGGATACAGAGGAGGAGAAATACAGCTATTTTTCCTGGGCGAATTACCAGAGCTCCAGAAAGAACAGCATGGTCAGCACGCTGCTGGGGTCTGTGCAGGGCACTGGGCAACTGTGTGGGAAAACCAGTGTGTGCGGACCTGTGCGCTGCTAGCCTGCTCCTAGGCCAGAGCCTGTGGGGACCAGAGCAAAGGACTGAGCCACAGAGAGAGTCACTGTGCTTTGAAGTCCAAGCTTGGGAGACCTGTTGCTGTGTGCTACCACATCAGAGAGAACCTGATTGTGAGATCTGAGACTTCTGCGATCACTGAACCCAATTTGTTGTATACCGGGAGTAGTGAGTTGAACTACCAAGCTTTACCCTTTATTGCCCACAGTTAATGCCATAGAGACTGATCCTCACCTAACAGTTCATTAGCCTTCTAATGAAGATAGCCTTAAATAGACAGCTTCACGTGCATCACCTCACAAAAGGGCCCCACCATAAGCCGGCCAGCACTGACAATTAGGCACCAGGTACTTTGTAGACACTTCCAGAGGTACCCCTTGTTAGGAATGCATATACCAACCTGCTATTGGGACTTTCTGTGTCGAGTGCACTTAGAAACATTGTTTGATTAGTAATTGCTAAGAATTACAATGAGGTTTCATTCATGCTTCCATGTGATACTATTTTTACTGATACTGTGTGAACCAGTGTAGTGGGTTTTAGCCTTTTTGCAGCGTAGATCAGTGGCCATAGGTGAAGGTAACATTCCCGTCAGTTAACCTAATGAATTTTGTTGTCCTGTTTCTGTATTGCATTGCATTTGCTTACCCTTCAATAATACATTCATCTTATTAATCCTCAAGCTGCCTGTGGTCTATTTTCTGTGCACTATCAAAGAGCAGTAGAATATTAGCACTTAAGCTATGTAGGTGTGAGTAACCTATAACCAGCTGTGTCAGTGGGGAGCAAGTGGCTTCTAGAGTCATGGTAGAGAACACTGGACCCAACATACCAATCCGCTCCTGCAGGGGCGCTACATACTGTATACCGGTACTCTTGTATTTTTTGGCAATCAGGATGAAGGAGGGTTGAGGGTGGGGTGTGAGATTGAACAACTTGTGACAAAGATAACAGAAAATCTAAAGAATTAATAATTATCCACACATTCAGTAAAACTAGAACACAAAATACAGGACCTAAAGAAAAAGAAAAATAAACAATATAAAAAAAATTTAAATAAAAGATACGCTGCGCCTCCCTCTTATGTATTTAAAGTGCAAATACCATACAAAATGTACTTATATATCATCAAAATAAAATATATAATAAATAAAAAAAACAGGCACTATCACATAAACATAAAATATCAACTCCAAAAGTGTCCTTTACAAGTATGAATGTCTTCAAATTCTATCAGTCTGGTGGTAAATTGTATAATTGTGAGCTTCATGACCTTCGGAGTGACAGGTCCATCAGTTGAGGTGAGCGCAGTGGTGAACGGTGGTGGGAATCACTACTCATGATTTGGATTTAGCACAAGAGGTGCAGCACAGGAAGAATATTAAAATACAAAAAATAGTGCAGCGCTAACAACCTATACTAAAATACAAATGAGATAAATGGAAATATCACATATAGAATGCACAATAAATATTCAGTGTTAGGTGCTCATAAAATGAATACTATGTGCAGCAGTCCATAAATGCCAATGATGGTGAAAAATCACAGCAAAACTCTGTGAGGTGATCACAGTGCCACTCAGTGTGCGGTCAATCCACAGATGGCCAAGATGGCCCCTCACCTCCTTGATGCGACCCACTGGGCCAAACAGCTATGTAGGTGACCTTATACACCCAATAAGGTATCATCAAAGGATGGAACGTATGGATAGATCCCTCCAATATCTTCTCCTATCTCCTAGGTACTCGATTCCACAAAACTGTTTAAGATATCATTAAAAACAAAGAAGATCCTCCATAGTGTAATCCAGTTTTAATAATAACATAAATATATATAAAATGCCCACTCACATGTAAAATGACAAAGATCAGCTTTTCCCATATCATGGGTGTGTTTCCATGGTTCTCATGCTAAGAAATGCATGCAGCTCCTGTCAGGGATCGCGGCTCCGGAATCAGGGATCGCGGCGTCTGTCTCCGCGCATGCGCACTGGCGGCAGATCACGCCGGGACACAGGCACTAGGTCCCGGCGAGCCGCGGCTGACAGGACGCCACGCATGCGCAGTAGGAGCCGCGGGCGCGCCTCAGGCGTCCAATGACAGTGCAGGGCGCACTATTTAACTGCGCTGCCTTCTCCTGTGATTGACCCGGATTGCCCTGACTACTCTGCCTTCTCCTATTCTGACCCCCGGCTTGCCTGACCATTCTACGGACTGACTTACCCTGCTGATCCTGCGTGTGACCTGACTACTCTTTGCCCGCCGATTCGGTACCTCGCTTACCCCCACGGGACCACGATCCGTTACCACCCTGCTGGGGCCGCCATCCTCTTCACATCTGGCTCTCCCGGTACCTGCATACGTCCCCGGAGGCTTCCTCAGCCACTGGTGGGCCTGCTCAGAGGTCGTGACCTGGCCCGGGACTGTTACAAGTCCATCCCCACCATCAGGGGCCCTGGTGAAAGCACAGCCCGGGCTTAGACCCCACGCTCTGTGCAAGGTCTGTCAGTTGGCAGCCTGAGGCACCACCTGGCGGATCATAACAGCTCCACTTGCTCCACAATCCCTCCAGAAATGGCCCCGACGCCGGAAATGACGTCACCGCGCCCCCGGAAATGATGTCAGTGCGTACCTTAACGCGTTTATGTCACGATCCACGTGACTTCCTCAGGAAGAATATTGGAGAAGCTCACAGATATAACATTTGCCATACGGCTGATAATATTTGAAGACATTCATTACATAAAGGACATTTTTGGAGTTGATATTTTAGGTTTATGTGATATTGCATGTGTTTTATTTGGTGTATATGTTATTTTAAAGTTGATATATAAGTACATTTTGCTTGGTATTTGCACTTTAAATACATAAGGGAGGCACAGCATATCTTTTCTACTATATTTCCATTTATGTTGTGGGAACACAATTTTTTGTTTGCAACCATCCTTTAGAGTCACTTTTGACATCATTTTTAACACTTGATATATACATCTTTTAACAATTTTTTTCATATAGAGGCGCGGGATAATCCACTTTTAATTTTCAATATAAAAAATGACTAATAAAACACATGCAGTCAAAGAGTTGTGCAGAGCATCTCATGGCAGCAGGCAATGCTCTGCGGATGACCGCGATCTACGTGCCAATTTACTGACGCTAAGAGCGTACATATAACCACTGACCCAAGCTGCATCTGACAAGCCTCGCCGCTAATTAGTGCGCAGTGACCCGCACTGATACCCGTCAGGCTAATTACTGTCTATGTGTAGGAGACCATAAATCAAATGATATTTACACCGAGGGTCACCTTACAGCGTTGCAATTGCTGTTAATAAACATCAACACAGAAGATGGGTGACCAGCGAACGTGACCTCTGTGCAGTTGTGAACTCCACATATATACGTCACAGACACCAAGGAGCAACTGTTCAAAGCAGGTCAAGGCAAACTCCACCCAGAACTGATATTTCTGTAATGTGTCATCAATATATTTCATATAATGTTCAGGGATGTAAGTGATGAGATCTCCCACACACATTTTCTATTCAACTGATTGGTACAATTAGAGGCCCTCTAGCACATAAGGCAAAAAGGTCAAAGTCCCCCCACCCCCATCCCCGTCATGAGCTGTGAACTACTTCTGTAGCATAGGATGTATATTCTGCACTTCCTGCTCCCCCTCCTGCAGAAGCGCTTAAGGCAGTTGCCTTTTCTGCCTATCCCTTGGTCCAGCCCAGATCCTTATTGTCATGGATCTCAATATAAAGGATGTCTATGCAGGGGAGAGGTAGCAGGAGAACAGCCAGCAGAGTCATTCTATTACTAGGTAGCCGGGCTGTGAACAGAAGTTGTCACAGAAGAGGCGGGATCAGTTCATGGAATTAACTTTTTACATTTATCTTCCAGCTAACCGCTCAATCCTCAGTAGTTCACCAGTCAGCATTAGACTTACAGTAGGCACATACTTACTACTGCAGGAAAATCTCACCAATGTGGGAGGGGCAAAGACACAAACTACTGCAGGGAGATCTCCCCATTGTGGGAGGGGCAAAGACACAAACTGCTGCAGGGAGATCTCCCCATTGTGGGAGGGGCAAAGACACAAACTGCAGCAGGGAGATTTCCCCATTGTGGGAGGGGCAGAGGCACATACTATTGCAGAAAAATCTCCCCATTGTGGGAGGGGCAAAGACACAAACTGCAGCAGGGAGATCTCACCATTGTGGGAGGGGCAAAGACACAAAATGCAGCAGGGAGATCTATCCATTGTGGGAGGGGCAAAGACACAAACTGCAGCAGGGAGATCTCACCATTGTGGGAGGGACAAAGACACAAACTGCAGAAGGGAGATCTCACCATTGTGGGAGGGGCAAAGACACAAACTGCAGCAGGGAGATCTCACCATTGTGGGAGGGGCAGAGACACAAACTGCAGCAGGGAGATCTCACCATTGTGGGAGGGGCAAAGACACAAACTGCAGCAGGGAGATCTCACTATTTTGGGGGGGCAGAGACAAAAAATACTGCAGGGAGTTCTCACCATTGTGGGAGGGGCAGAGACACAAACTACCGCAGGGAAATCTCCCCGTTGTGGGAGGGGCAGAGACACAAACTACTGCAGGGAAATCTCCCCATTGTGGGAGAGGCAGAGACACAAACTACCGCAGGGAGATCTCCCCGTTGTGGGAGGGGCATAGACTAAAACTACTGCGGGGAAATCTCCCCATTGTGGGAGGGGCAGAAACAAACTACGGGGGAAACCCTTTATAGGTTTGTTAGCACAGCTATCCCAATGACATGACAACTCCCCAGGAAAGTGATTTTGACTTCTGGTTTTATTTGTGCCAGGCGCAGAATTACGCACCAGGAAGGCCACAATCCGCAGCAGTTTTAGTCTGATGTGATTATATTAATCTCTTTACAAATTTGTTCATTCCATTTTGCTTTGTTTAATATATCTGAACTCCCAGGCGATGGTGATCAGGACTCTCTATAGAGACGCATTCATCCAGCTGCAATTGTCTGTGGAATTGGTGGCGGTTTTGTGTCCGACGTATAAAACAGACCAGCAAACGGTACTAGTTTTCCGCATGAGAACATTGCAGAATTAGCTAAATGAGAAATTATCGCCATGAATAACACAAACAAGCAGGACGCCAGGTAATCTGTTCACTGCCAGGAAGGAGACTTTCTTCTCTTGAAGTGAACGCCGCTAAATTTGATGCAGCGTTCTGCGGAGGCCTCGGGGGAACAATCTTCCCGTAACCTAATTCCTGCAATGGAAGCTGAGGCCTCCATAAATCTCACCGCCAAGCAGACAGTATAAGTGGCGTGTTAACCTGCAAAAAGCGCAAACATTTCTCAGGTAACTGCTACGACACATCGCACGCCAGGAACGCTCAGAATAATCACACTAATGGCTGCGGCCAAGCCAATCCTGCACCACGGGGAGAAGCCAACCCATCAATAAACAAAACCAATTCTTACTATAGAGAGAACATTTCAAAGGTTAGAGATACCTCCCTGGCCTCTATTTATACATTTTATCCTATTCTGGACAAAAGCCAAAAACGTTTATATAATGTTACTAACTTATATGTAAATTGGTGAGCTGCACATGATCAATTAAACAGATGCTAAACTGGTTTCAAAAATAATAATTCTATTCAAGTATGTATTCTTAACCCAGAAAATAACCTATTGCTCTCAGTCTCCTCCAAATTCTTTATTATGCTCTGACTTCCTGTTAGAGGGTGGCTACATTTGTTCTCCATGGTCCCACTGTATGTAGGAATGTAGCCACCCTCTTTTGCTCATTCCTGAGCTAGACTATAGGATTTGTATTGTGCATAGAGCAGGGCTTGTTCACACAAACAGAAGTGAGGGGGAAAAGGAGAGCTTCAGGAGCTCACAGAGGGCATTATGAGGAGGCAAAAAACACAGTAAGAAACAATTTAATTTATAATGAATTACTGGACCATTATAGCGTTTGTAAAGCCTAAACATTTTTTACCTTAATGCTTTCCCTTCATTAAGGTAAACATTGAATCAGTATGTGTATCACTCCCCTTATACTTACCTGAGCCTGATCTTGATCCAGTGCTGTGTCCATTTGTAACAGCTCTCTCCTCATCTCCCTGCTCTAACAGGCTTTGCTGAGAGCAGCGGTAGGTGGTTCCTGCTGCTGTCAGTCAAATCCTGTGACGAGGGAGTGAGGCTGAGCCTCTCTGTCTGTGTCTATAGATGCAGACAGCACACCTCTGGATTGAAGAGGAGAAGCCAGCAGCGCTGGCCAGGGACCCGAGAAGAGGAGGATAGGGAATAGAGAACAGCTAACTATAACATGTTTGTTATATAGACAGTAAATGAACCTGACTTTACAAAAGCTTTAAATAGTGGATGTGTTTGGAATATATTTATTTGGACAACAAAAATATCACTTAGTGTCACTTTACTCTGTGCTTCTGTGCATTAGCACTTACATCCACAGCGCCTACAGTGTTTTTCAAGATTGTGGAAGTTTTGCATTTAGGAAAAATGTTGCATGTGTATGTGCGGTTAAATGCAGATGCATAGAAGCATCAGCGCTTACACGAGTGAGGCTGCATATCCAGGGAGGGTCTATGTTGTATCAAATACCTTCCATTTCTTAAAAATGGACTTAACTGTGCTTCTAGGCATTGATAAATCCTTTTACTTTTTTTGCATTCATCTCTGACGTGCATTTCAACAACTTTTTCCCGGAGATCCTTTGACAGTTCCTTGCCACCCATACTTGATTGTTTTCTTCATTTGCACTAAGGGGACTGAAATGCTCCAGGAAATCTCTTTTCATAATGAGCTAATCAAAATGACCACAGCTGGTCACAGACAAAAGTCAAATGGCTTTGTATGCAATTAAGAAGGTGATTAGCTACACCTGATTGAGTTTACAAGTCATTTGTAGGAGGGGGGGCTTTTTCCAACTCAGTGATTCAGTTTTTGATTTTTTTAAAAATGTTTCTAATATGTTGGTGTTACAGCTTTCACTTGGATGTTATAAGTTGCACTACTAAATACAGCTGGATAAAACAAAAATTGTGTCTGTCTTAAGGTGGTTCTAAAGGCTCAAGGTTTTTTACCTTCATGCATTCTATGCATGAAAGTAAAAAACCTTCAGTGTGTAGGGCCACCCCCCCCCCAATCCTTTTATGAGCCCCCTCTGATCCAGCGATGTTCTTCACAGCCTCTGCTGTCTGGGGACTCTGAGACAGCAATGGGAGCCCATTGGCTACCTCTGCTGTTAATCACAGCCAGTGAGCCAATGAGGAGGGGGAGCGGGGCCAAGCCGTGGCTCTATGTGTCTTATGGATACATAGAGCTGCAGCTTGGGGACAAGCATTCAGAAGCACCCCCAGGGTGGGCGATTTTACCTGGGGGCAATGCTTAAGGAGGAGGAGCCAGGAGCACCGAAGGGGACCCAAAAAGAAGAGGACCGGGGCTGCTCTGTGCAAAATCACTGCACAGAGCAGGTAAGTATAGACATCTTTGTTATTTTAGAAAACAAAAAGCTTTGATGTCACTTTAATTTCAGGCTGCAAAGCAACAAAATGTGATTATGTTAAAAGGGGTGATTCTTTTCTATACCCACTGAATATACAGAATAGTATCACTTCTTAGAAAAACTCCACCCTTTATTATTAGGTAGTTGTCCTTAAGATCCCATTAATAACTATGCCTAGGCTGAGATGATGCCATCAGTCTGCTGCAGGCAGGAGGAAGAATTTCCTGTCTCCTATCCCAGTGGTCAGACTGCAACATTGTAACGTTTTAGTAAGTCACAAGGTAAAAAGCTGCAGCAGGGGCTGATCTGTGTTAAACATTTGCGAACAGAGCCAAGAACTGCAGAGGCATAAGGATTTATATAATTGTGCCTTCACTGAGCCAGCATCTCAGTCCAGCAAGTAGATAGTGACCCTGAATGATGCCTGAACATAGATGGCTCCGTTCTTCTGTAGAGAAAATCAGATAAAGGTATTGTCAGGGGGAATGCCTTGATCTCAGTGAAAAGTAATACATATCTGGAAGTACCAAGCATGTATGTACTTAAAGCATATCTAAACCCAAAAGCAAAAATGTAACATATTTAAGATTACTACTTATTAAATGTGGTGGCTGCCTTTGTTTTCTCTTTCCAGGCTTTATTCTCACCTGGTGATCCTGCCTATAACACATTTCCTGTCCTAGGGTGACAGCGCTCTTTCACTGTACTGTGTCAAGACTATTGTTCATAATACAGATGGGAAAGAGTCATTGAAGGATCAAACTGCATTGCATGCAATGGCTAGTTGTCTGCATACCACAGGAGCAGCTGTGAAGGGATCAGCCGAAAAGGTGATTCTGCCGTGAACAGATCGGTAAATCTCGCTATGGCTGGAAGAGGATTTCAGCTGAAATAAACGGCTGAGCCCAATTATACTTCATTTTACACATCACTTGTAAGGATGAGATTGTGCAGACTGTTTTCCTGTAAATCGGGAATTATTACACATGTAGCGCCGGCTGAGCGGGACCTTTATCAGGATAATGTATTGTGTGTACATTGTGTGAGATGATGCATGTAATAGGCCTGTATGATACATTAAACAGGAATATCTAAGTGGGTGCTGAGTATTCCATACAGCCAGGAATGCCGCCCTGCCGGTCACATGGACCCTCGCTGACTGCGCCATTACAAAATCCTCCCTGCATGTACAATGTGGCTGTTGCTGTCTCTGTGGCCGGTCCAAAGAGCCACAACAATTGGGGTCAGGGAGTAGACCAAACTTTTCAATACTCAATACGCAGCAGGTCTATTTTATAAAGCTACATAACATATCTGATTTATATTTTAGAGCTCCTTAAGATCTCACAAATCTGTGTTGTTCATATCCTCTGTGTTGTCCATGCTTTCCATGTTGTCCTTGTTCTGGAGGGATCACTGCTGTTCTCATTTACTAGGAAGGATATTTACAAGCTTGACATTGACATATCCTTCTTAGTAAATGTGGACACCAGTGATCCCTCCAGTGTGCGATGGATTTCTTCTTATCAATCCTTCCAGTTGGCTGGATTCGCAAATATAAAATTCTCAGCAGACCAGAAAAATACAGAGTCATAAATTCAGGTGTTTTGAAAATTCATGATTTGCACAAAATTATTAGATTCACTAAATCCAGAACTGTCACAGTTTGAGAAAAAGCAAAAAAACATTCAAACAAAAGAAAGCACAGGAAACACTGAAAACACAGATGTCATAGACAACATGATTATTACAGATACAGTAACACAGGCAACATGGAGAACATAGACAACGTGAAGAAGATGGACAACATGAAGAACATTGACAAAATGGAGAACACAGCCAATATGGAGAACACAGCCAATATGGGGAACACAGACATCACAGAGAACATGGACATTACAGAGAACATGGAGAACACGGACATCACAGTGGACATGGACAAGAGGGGAGAGCATTGACATCACAGAGAACATAGACAACATGAAGAACACAGACATCACAGAAAACAAGGAGGAGCACAGACAATACAGAGAATGCAGACAACATGTAGAACATGAACAACATGGAGAACACAGACAACACAAAGAACACAGACAACATGGAGGACACAGACAATACAAAGAACACAGACAACATGGCCAACAAGGGGACCACAGACAAGACGGACA